GGGGAGCCCCTCACCTGCCCCGTGTGGGGCCAGGGGAGCCCCTCACCTGACCCCTGCCCCGTGTGGGGCCAGGTGAGCCCCTCATCAGCCCCCTGCCCCATGTGGGGCCCTGGCAGCCCCTCACCTGCCCCCTGCCCCGTGTGGGGCCAGGGCGGGCGGAGCAAGCTGCCCTCTTCCCTAGGGAAGGCTCCCTAGGGCTCCCTAGGGAGCCCCTTCCCGCTGCTCTTGGACGCGCGGGACACGCTGCGGTGTTAGAGGCGAGGGAAGCACAGGCACCGGTGGGTGCTGCCTGTCCGTGTTGGCTTCGTGTCCTATGTGTTCGCGTGCCTTTGTCCCGAGCTCTGTTCCCAGCCCGTGGCCGTCACCCTCCGCCCGCTGGCGCTGGTGCCGCAGAGCCTGCTGCTCTCCGCTGGGGCTGCAGCTCTTCAGCGGCCACGTAAGAAAGGAAGCCACCGGCTCTGCGCCCGCCACCCTTCTCAGACACCCCCAGTCCAAACCAGCCCCTGGGCCACCTCAGCGCCAGCCCCACAGCAGCCCCAGCTGCCCTGCCCACCCCCCGAGGCCGCTCCACGCTGAGGAGAATCCCTAGGGAAGGGGCCCGGGGCCTGGGCCTCACAGTGGGGTGCCAAGGAGCCGGGCAGGATGCTGGGGCTCCGAGCGAGCCGGTTCCTGCAGGCCTTTTTGATCATTATTCTTGGTTTTACCCCCACTTTGGCAGCCCAAATAAATGCCACAGGCTTCACTAATATGTGAAATTCACATTTCAACATTTCTGATGAAGAAAAAATATATACATCTATATGTCTATATATAACCTGAATCACGAAGGCACCTGTGTGTGAAGCAATTCATGGCCTGTGCTTGTGTTTGGATTAGGTTTTGATAAAAGCACAGGTTGTGAAGCGAGGCTTCGCTCCCCTGTGCTTCACTCCTGCTTGTCCTGGGGAGAGGTGTGGGGAGCAGCTGCTTCTTAGTCACCCCCTTCACAATAGTTCATGTCCGTGAACTGTTGTTACTGAGACTTGAATTCTTCAGAGCAAGCACACTGCCTTTCTATCTGTATAAATATGTATTTACAAAGAGTCGTCAACACGTATAGAAGATTTGGAAGAGCTTGCCTGGCCTGGGCAGGGTGTTTCCTTGCAGAAAACTAGACCTACTGTGTTGGGTTTTCCTCTATGTCTTTATTGCCCTAGCAAGGGTGAGTGAGCGAGCGTTGTGCTTGTGTGGGTGAATATTGAAGACAGCTTCACTGCATTGGTGGCAGTACCTGAGCAATAAATAATTCATTTCTCGATAAAGACAACCATTAGCATGTATTGCAATGTGCTGGTGCTGATTTGCTTCTGGGTATTTGCTGTGTATAAGCAAGAGCACAAGCAGGAGCAATATCCTTTTTTCTTCCATCGTCTTTTATGCACCAAGGATGAGTGAATTCTTTTGATGATAGTTTTCCTTTGCTTATTTAAATATTTTCACTTGTCATTTCTCTTTCTTGCCCTTTGGTGCACATGAAAAATAAATCTCTGCTTTATTTTTTAAGTGTTGGCACATTAAACTGTTACATAACATCCATCACCCTCCATCTAGTGCTTATGGTGATTAAACAAAAAAAAAAAAAAAAAAAAAAAAA